TTGGCCTTTGTCCTGTCCCTCAACCTACTTCTGCCGGGCCCAGGGCCTTTGCACACGCTGCTCTCTCTGCTTGGAACGCGTGGCTTCCGCCCTCAGCCTCCTTCCCCCGGTTCCACTCTCCTTGTTCTTCCCAGGGTTTCAGAGCCTCCCCTGACCCCCCCTGATGTGGTCAGACCCCTCCAGGGCCTCTCAAAGTACCTTGCACCCAGCTGCCACCTTGCATTGGGTTGCGAGGCTGTAAGGGACTGGTATACAGTGGGTGCATATTATTAGAATGGATGCATGGAGAAATGGAGGCAACTCTCAGCTCTAGCTCTGCAGGCCTCTGCAGAAGGGCAGGGGGAGAAGGAGTCAAGGAAAGTGCAGGAAGGGCAGAGAGCACAGGGCTCTGACATCCCACAGGGAAGCACAAAGACCCTTCTCCACCTCCCCCACCCCGCCCCGCCCACCTGCCCAGGGCGGGGTCCCGAGCTGGGAGGAATAGAATCACAAGCTGTCTGACCCCAGACAGAGGGGCCTGTGTGCTGCCACAGCTGGACGTGGTGCCAAGGGGCCGCGCTCGTTTCTTCCAGAGATGAGGAAGACAGCAGCCGCGTGGGCAAAGCCCCATGCTGGCAAAGGCGTGGCTCACGGCCCAGGCTGCACAGCGAGGCCGCTGTCCTGCGGACACTGAGCCACTGAACCCCAGGAGGACCCCCTGCAGCTGAGAGAAGCCCGTTTGAAAGAAATGCTCATCCTCTGTTCACACTAGCCTCACCCCCTCCCAGAACGGGCCTCCAGTCCACATCGAAGCTGCCTTCAGCCCCAGGTTTGTCTTACAAAGGCTTGGGCATGGGGATATTTTTTTTTTTTTTTTTTTTGAGACAGAGTCTCACTCTCTTGCCCGGGCTAGAGTGAGTGCCGTGGCATCAGCCTAGCTCACAGCAACCTCAAACTCCTGGGCTCAAGTGATCCTCCTGCCTCAGCCTCCAGAGTAGCTGGGACTACAGGCATGCACCACCATGCCCGGCTAATTTTTTGTATATATTTTTAGTTGTCTGATTAATTTCTTTCCATTTTTAGTAGAGACGGGGTCTCGCTCTTGCTCAGGCTGGTCTCGAAACTCCTGAGCTCAAACAATCCGCCCGCCTCGGCCTCCCAGAGTGCTAGGATTACAGGCGTGAGCCACCGCGGCTGGCCGAAAAAAATACTTTTTAAAATTAGTTTTCTTTTTTTGAGACAGGGTGTCACTCTGTCGCTTGGGCTAGAGTGCAATCATAGCTCGCTGCAACCTCAGACTCCTGGGCTCAAGTGATCCTCCTGCCTCAGCCTCCGAAGTAACTGGGACTACAGGTGTGAGTCACCACACCCGGCTAATTTTTAAATTTTTTGTAGAGACGGGGTCTCATTATGTTGCCCAGGTTGGTCATGAACTCCTGGGCTCAAGCGACCCTTCCACCTTGGCCTCCCAAAGTGCTGGGATTATAGGCACGCCCCACCGCACCGGGCTGGGATAGCTTTTGAAATATCGGTGGCAGAACAGAGAACTGGAGTGAACATACACAACCTAATAATAATAGTAACATCGGAGATGATCGTTCACTTGTGCAGCCTTCATCATTTCGAGAGCCCATCCCAGCTATCTCACCAATATCTCAGGACGACTTCGTGAGCCAAAGACTATGATTCGTATTTTACAGTTAAGGAAACAGAAGCGCTAGGATGCCCCAAAAGGTGCCCCAGGTGGCAGAGCAAACCTGTGGGGAGTTGGGATTTGAACCGGGGTCATCAGATTGCAAAGATGACGCCCTTTTGGTGAATAACATCAGAAAGCACGGCAGGGAGTCTGTGCTGCTGGGAGAATATTTTTATGTCCAGGATGGTTTTCTGCTTGGAGACACCAGGTTGAAGAAGGTTTTCAACATCCAGGACACTGGAGTGCAGCATCACAGCTCACTGCAATCTTGAACTCCTGGACTCTAGTGATCCTCCTGCCTCAGCCTCCTGAGTAGCTGGGACTACAGGCACCACCACACCCAGCTAATTTTTTATTTATATTTTTTGTACAGATGGGGTCTCACTATGTTGCCCAGGCTGGTCTTGAACTCCTGGCCTTAAGCGATCCTCCTGCCTCAGCCTCCCAAAGTGCTGGGATTATAGGCATGAGCCACCACGCCCTGCCTGGTGACCCTTTCTACATATTCAGGCATCAATATTATTTAAATTGAGTTGGAGAGAGAGACTTCTAGAAGGGCCCGTGGAAGGGAGAAAGAAATTGCAAAGGTGAGCGGACAGGAGCTGTAGGTGCTGACCCAGGGGCCATCTCTCTGCTGAAACTTGCAGACCGTGAGTGCAAACCCCACGGACATTGGTACCAGACAGACAAGCGAGTCTCAGCTCCTCTGAGAACAGGCACCTCTTGCCACGAAGAAACACACAGGTGCCCGGGATTCAGAGGCCTGGAAATGACTGAATTCAGAAGAGGCCTGAAGTCCTTAAATATGGGGGACCCCTGTTCCACAGTGGGTGCCCCATTCTGCTTGCACATCAGTGGACAAGAAACTCACGATCTCCCACATCAGCCCAATCGAGACCTGTCGTTTGTTTTATTTTTTTAATATTTTTTTCCTATGGCCACCTCACCCCGAACGCGCCCAGTCTCGTCTGATCTCGGAAGCTGAGCAGGGCCGGGCCTGGTCGGTACTTGGATGGGAGACCTGTGTTTTAAAGCAGTCGTCTGTACTGCGTTTAAACCCAACTCTTTTCAGGCTTATTCACTCGTCCTAGTTCTGCCTTCCGGAACCCTCCCCGGATGAGATTTTTTCCAGAGCTGGAAATGCTTTTTCAAATTCTCTTTTTTCAGGCTGAACTCACCCAGCCCTTTAGACTATAACTCCCCAGATAGTTTACATAACCAACTCTTCCGCATCACGTCCTGGGGCTGAGTTTCTTGCATTAAAGGAGAGAGGGGTGAGCACTTGTCTCCAGCCAGGGAGTCAGAGTCGTGCATCTCGGCTGGACGCGGTGGCTCATGCCTGTAATCCCAGCGCTTTGGGAGGCTGAGGCGGGAGGATCGCCTGAGCCCAAGAGTTCCAGACCAGCCTGGGCAACATAGCAAGACCCCATCTCTAAAAAAAATTTTAAAAATTAGCTGGTTGTGGTGCCCATGCCTGTAGTCCCAGCTACTCGGGAGTCTGAGGCAGGAGGATCGCTTGAGCCCAGGAGCTGGAGGCTGCAGTGAGCTGTGATGACGCCACTGCACTCCAGTCTGGGAGACGAAGTGAGACCCTGTCTCTTAAAAAAAGCAAAAATGCATACAGCTTCCTTCCCGCATGACTTGTTATTCCTACCAGTGTCCGTCACTCATTCACCCAATATCTATTGAGCGCCGACTGCATGCCAGGCACTATCATGGGGCTGGGATACAACAGTGATCAAAACAAAGATCTCCCCTGCTCTTGTGGGGCTCTGTTTGGTGGCGTGTTCCGCACATTGGTGGTGTAAGCATCCCCCTAACTAAACACCACGAACCGAGTGCCTTCAAGCAACGTTCGTCCTCTTATAAATTGAGAGGCCAGAAGTAACCCTGAAATCAGTTTCACTGGGCAGGGCAGGTCCCTGCTGGGGGCTCCAGGGGAGAACTCGTTTCCCACGTGTCCCAGGGTCTAGCAGCCGCCCGTGTCCCTCGGCTCGGGGCCCTTCCTCCCCCTTCAGAGCCAGCAGCGCAGCGTCTTCCAGTCTCTCTGCCTCCGACCCTCCTGCCCCCTCGTGGGAGGACCCTGTGCTGACACTGGTCCCCGGGTCATCCAGGGTGATGTCCTCATTTTAAGATCCTTAACTTAATCCCATGTGCAAAGTGCCTTTTGCCATGGAAGGTAGCACTCACAGGCTGCAGGGATCAGGATGTGGCTGTCTTTGTGGAGGGCCATGATAAAGCCATTATTCAGGAAGGAAACAATTCAGGTAATTGGGGAGGAGGTGATGAAAGGGACCAGTGAGGCTTTCCCTGAAAATGTAGCCCAGGGGCAGAGAGACCCAAAGTAAGTGAGGTTGGGCATGAGGGAAAAGCATTGAGCTGAGGGAACAGCCAGTGCAAAGTTTGAAGGTAAGAGTAAGCCAGTCAAAAAGGAACAGGTAGGAGCCACTGCAGCTATCGGGGCAGGAAAGGCAAGGGGAAAGGAGGTTGTAGACCCGGCGGGGGAGGCTAGATCCCAGGTTTTCAATGGAATAAGCATTTGCCTGGTTTTTTTTCGTTTTTTTTTTTTTCGAGACAGAGTCTTGCTCTGTCACCCAGGCTGGAGTGCGGTGGTGTCATCATAGCTCACTGCAGCCTCCAGCCCCTGGGCTCAAGTGATCCTTCTGCCTCAGCCTCTTGAGTAGCTAGGACTACAGGCATATGCACCACACCTGGCTAATTAAAAAAAATTTTTTTAGAGATGGGGTCTTGCTATGTTGCCCAGGCTGGTCTTGGACTCCTGGGCTCAAGTGACCCTCCCACTTTGCCCTCCCAGAGTACTGGGATTACAGGCATGAGCCATTGTGCCTGGCCTGCCTGAGGGATTTTAAGCTAGGATAGGTCCCTCCGGCTGGCTGCTGTGTGGAAAAATACACTCTCACCTGGATTCATGGGAACCCAGGTAAGAATAGTGCAGTATCAATGAGACAGTTTTAGGAGAATGTTTAGAATCCTTAAAATAGTGTAGGGTGGGGGCTCTTTTGGAGCTTTGGGTGGGGGGAAATCAATCTTGAATATCCACCATGTGCTTGGCCCAGATAGTCCGCTACGAGGCCACAGGGAGGTCTTGCCCACGTAGTCTCAGCTCTCACGGAGTGCGGAGGTGAGAACGTGAGCGGATTAGAACCTGGGCCAGCCCCTGGCCAGCTCCCTCTTAGAGATGCCCCGGCCAGGCGGCAGTTCCAGAGGAGGCTTTCACTGCCCACCTGCGGTATGCCTGCACCCGCCTGGGAGAGGTGCCTGGCCCACTCCCTCCACGGCTGTCTTGGGAGCCTGGAAGTCCTACCTGGGAAGATCCTCGTCCTGCCATTCCTCCTTCACGTCCACGTTTTCCATCCGCAGCGTGGCCTCGGTGGTCCCCATGGGAGCAGGAGCAGGTGCCGGCTTGGAGCAGGGGTGAGCTCTGAAGGGGAGGCGCAGAGGAATGGGGTTTACTGGGCAGTAATCATAATAACAGCCCCCCACGTGCAGCACCGCTTACTGAATCACATCCCAGCTCCCCGGGGCTTCCCCATTTTACAGGTAAGAAAACAGAGGTGTAAAGAGCTGAGAACACCCAGGTGGGTCTAGAGTTTGAACCCAGGTGAGGGGCTGAGCCTTCAGCTACAAACACCCTTCCCTTGGAAGCTCTGAACTCTACCATCTCCTGGGAGAGCCAGGACCCAAATAGACTCATCCTCCCTCCCTTACCTTGGAAGCAATCGATCCGAATAGCCATTTATACTAAAGTGTGAATGACTGATATACTCAAGCCTCCCCACTTTCAAAGAGGTCCTGGTTAACTCCAACTCATCTCTACCTGCCACCTCTACCAGGCCACCTGTTCTGCCCCTCTGTCCTCCTGAAAAGAAGCAAGTCCTAACAACCTGCTGACCCCAGGGCTAACAGAGGCAGTGTGGAAAGAGAGCATTGTCACCAGCAACTACAAAATGCCCATTTTGTGTTTATCATTCTGAGGAGCCCACGGCGGGGTAGGGGTAGGTCCGGGTGGTGTCCGGGCAGGATCAGAGCTACCAAGTGAGACTGAACCTGGGTCTGTCCCGGGGCACGGCGGCCTCTCAGACCACTCACCTCTCTGGGCCTCAGTTTCCCTGTCTGTAAATGAAAAGGTTGAATGAGAGGTGACCTCTATGACACCCTCTGGCAGAACATTCCAGGATCTTATGATTCAACCAACGCCACCTGTTTTGTGCCTTGAAACCAGCGGTTGGCACCTGGGGGAGAGTCTGCCGCCCCTCCCCCACCCCCTATGGCATTTGGCAATGTCTAGAGGCTTTGCTGTTTGTCACAACTGGGGGGGGGGGTGCTCCAGGCTGGAGGCCAGTGCCCAGGATGGCACCCCCCCACCCGAGAATGATCGGGACCCAGCTGTCCCTAGATCCGAGGTTGAGAAACCCTGTTTTGAAGGGAATGGCCGTTTCTCTGCTTGCACGTCAGTGAAAGGGCTTTGGGCCATATTCGGCGGTCACCCTGTTACCTCCTTCCGTCCTCCCAACATCTCCTGTCTTGTGATGTCCCCTTTCCAGCATCTAAGGCCCCCGACTCGAGTCACGCCCCGGCTGCCCCTCTGTGGACCTGGCGCATGGCTAACAGTGTGTCACCCGGAGCCCCCAATGTACGTAGACGGTGGCTCTGCATTTGGGATGGCGGCTCAGCGAGGGAGGACGGAGAGGGAGCCCAAGCCAGGTGAGCGCCGGGCAGGAAGGGGGAGGCGGCAGGCGACGGCTAACGCGAGCCCCTCCCCCACTTGGGGTGTGAGTTTCTCACTCCGTTCTCCGTCCTGAATGTCGTCATTCATTCACGGAGGAGGGACAGTAACATGCAGTTATGGAAAAAAAAATCCCTTCCGGATGCTCCGCGCAACGGCAACCGCCTAGACCCTTATTGCAAGGGACAGTTTGCGTCATGTCCGCGGAAATTCGTCTGCTGTCTGGAGGGAGCGGTCTGTCGCCTTATCTGAGCCCCCAGGAATACGCTCCCCTAGTCCTCGGGGCCATGGGGACCCACAGCTGGAGCCACATGCGTTGACTCCGTAATCCTTTCACTATGGGGTGTGGCGGGTCCCAGTGGACCCCACACACTCCCGCATTGAGATCCTGGCTTCACGTTTGGGGACAGCAAAGGGGGCAGAGAGAGGCAGGCAGGAAGGAGGGGACAGGTGACAGGCGATCTGAGCTCGGATGTTGAATTATTAGCGCATCACATACAAGTTCCGAGACGGGTGGAGGGGGCCGTGTCTATAACCATCTCCCTCTGTCCCCACCCGACAGGCGAGCCTTTATCCACACGCTTAGGGAGTCCTGCTTCCGAATCCACCGCCGGTGGCTGTCCCAGTCCCTCTGGGTGTTATAAATAGGAGATGACAGAGGCGGGACAGGCCCATTTCAGCCGCCCAGGTTTTTTTTTTTATCCACCTAAGCTCTAAGCAGCGTCCTGAAAATGGTGCAAAGCTCTGCCTTCCGGGGACGGTGCGCGGAAGGTGAGCTGTGCCCGCGCGAGCCCGGGGACGGCATCGGCGACACGGATGTGGGGGCCTCGGAAGAGTCACCGGACTGTGCTCTCTGCTCCCACCCGCCCCCTCTGCTGCCGAGGGATTTAGAAGCAGCAGATGCCACCGGAAGGTGCCCGCACTCACCTCCGCAGCGGCAGCGGCCTCTCCTCCTCGTCACTGGCAAACAAAGACCGGCCCTGCCCGGGCGCAGCCGGGCATCTCCCGCGGTCCCCAGGCCTTGAGCGCGTCGGAGGAGGAAGATGCTCGCAGGGGCGGGTTCTGCATCCGAGGAAGGTCACCCAGGGCAACGTGGCCAGCGTTGGCGGGCTCTTTTGTCCAGGGGGTGGGGAGCACGGTTCCTGGTTAGCGGTGGGCTCCCCGATGCGGGGCTGTGGCGGCCGCGTCCTCTGTCACCATCGCTGCCTGCACCCTGTCACCGAGGAAAATACCTTCTTCCTCCCGGCTCCCGGCTGACAGAGAGGCTCAGGCTTCCTTAAGACAGTTAATTACGCTGCTTTTGTGTGCAGGGGGTTGGAGGGTGGTGGCAGGGGGCAGGCCTGACCACAGAGCACAGCCCCCTGCCACAATCCCGGCCTCTCCATTGGCTGGAAGAAGAAAGCACCCCCCAAGGGCCACGCCAAGCACAAATAATTTTCTGATGGCGCACCACGGATTTAAAAACAAAACAGGGAACGCACAAATAAATAAACGGTGCGATGGCCTCATTCTGTACAGTGGGGAGTGGGGGAAGAAGGTCTTGGGGACACTTCCCCTTTCAAAGGCAGCAGGGGTGGGAGGTGTCCCCTAAGCGGGCAGAGAGATAAAAAATGTCCCAGGGACCCTGTTTTGTGGGTCCATCAGACGGCCACGCGCCACCAATGGAGCCGTGCACCCTGAACCGGACCGGGTCCTGGGGAGGCAGGAGTTTCTCAGACAGACTCGCCCCCGCGAACAGCGCCCCCTGCAGTTGTGCGCAGGGAGTGGCGCCCACCTGGAGGAGTTCGAGGGGACGGTGGGATGGTGTAGGGACTCTTTGGAAAAAGAGTCTTGGCAGATGGAATTAAGTAGAGGATCTTGAGACGAGACTGTCCCAGAGGAGGGTGGGCCCTAAATTCCATGACGGGTGTCCTTAGACGAGAAGAGAAGACATGCAAGAGAAGGGGCCTCTGTGAAGACGGAGGCAGAGATCGGGGTGAGGCTCCTACTAGCCAAGGATTTCCTAGCTGCCGCCAGAAGCAGGGAAGAGGCACGAAATGGATTCTCCCGCAGAGATTCCAGAAAGAACCAACCCTGTGGACACCTTGATCTTAGACTTCTCACCTCCCGAAAGGCCAGACAATACATTTCTATTGTTTTAAGCTACCCCATGCGGTGGTATTATATTTTGTTTCAACAGCCCCAGGAAACAAAGTATAGGACCCTAAGTAAGAATTGAGATCTGTTCTCTCCTGCTCCTTTGACTTACTTGGGTGGTTTTTCGCCTGTTCTTTGAGCAAACACATCAAGTTCATTCCTACCACAGGGCCTTTGCACGTGATGTTTCCTCTGCCAGGAATGCGCTTCTCCAGAACTTCACGTTATTCATGTGTCAGTTTAGAAGTTCCCTCCTCAGAGGAGCCTTCCCAGATCCCCCTCCACCCTCCACTCTACCCCCCCATCACCCTCCATCCATTGCCCAGTTTTATTTTTAGTATGATGAACTTTTAAAAAATCGTGGTAAAACACACATGACTCACAATTTACCATTTTAACCAATTGAGACCGTACAACTCAGTGGCACGAAGGGCATTCACATTGTTGTGCGAACATCACCGCTATCTAGTTCTAGAACTTTTTCTTAAATGGACGTCCTGTCCCCATTAGCTGTCACTCCCACCCCTTCTCCTGTCCCTGACATCCACAAATCCATGTCCCTTCTCTGTGGATCTGCCTGTTCTGGACGTTTCATATAAATGATGTCACACACTGTGTGTCCTTCTGTGTTTGGCGTCTCTCACTGAGCACGACGTCCTCAAGGTCCCTCCACAGCGTAGCCTGTGTCAGTACCTCGTTCCTTTTTGTGGCCGAGCGATGTTCCACGTGTGGATGGACCACATTTTACATCTCCATTCATCCGCTGATGGACACTTGGGCTGTTTCCACCCCTTGGCTGCTGTGACGTGCGTACAAGCACTGGAGTCCCTGTTTCTAATCTCTTGGGCGCATTCCTGGGAGTGGAATTGCTGGGTCACGCTGTAATTCTATCTTTCACTCATTCAGGGACCTGATTTTTTTCCACAGCGCTCACCACTGGTTGAAACTACTTACTTATTTCTTTGTCGATTCGCTGCCCCGCCACCCCTTACTAGAATCTAAATTTCCAGAAAGCAGAGACCCAGCCGCTCTCATTTACCGACATGTTCTCTGCCCAGGGCAGCGTCTTCTGGTGCCAAGGAGACACACAGGAGATGCAGGTAGGATGCAGGAATGCCGGTCCCTTCACGGACACTTGATGACTTGGGCTGGACCCTCACTCACGGAGTCTGTAGCCCTCCAGACCACAGGCATGAAGGCAACCTGCCCCGTGGCAGGGGCGGAAAGCCCTGCTGGGGACAGAAAGAGCCCTGAGACCTTGGCTCAAGGTTTGGACGTCCCACCTCCTGGCTGGAGGAAGTGGAGCTCTTGGAAGAGACACTTGTGTTGATCGAAGGGGACATTCCGGCCGGTCCCCAAACACAAGATGTGAGTAACATTTTGCTCTCGGAGAACCCCTATTTGCTTGGGAGAAACAGGTGGTCAAAGAACTGCGCTGATTGGGGGACGTCTTTGGAGACGGCCCTTGGGGGGAGATTTCCTGGAACATACGGGACAGGGGTGATGACGATGTGAGTCAAGCCCCGAGGAGTGAGCAGGAGTTAGATGGTCGAAGAGGGAGAAGGGCTTTCTGGACAGACAGGCCTGCCCGGACTGCTTTGGCGTTTGAAGAACAGCAGCTCGCGGCCAATGGGACGGGGCCCTGGGAGCTGTCCGTGGTGCTGCAGCCGCCACCAAGGAGCTGCCTCGGGTGACCTAAGCTTGGTTCCCTGTCTGTTCTTGTTTCTTTTTAAATTGTGGTAAAATACACATAACGTAAAATTTAAATTTTAACTATTTTTAAGTGCACAGCTCAGTGGTATTAAGCACATGCACGTTGCTGTGCCGCCATCACCACACTCCCTCTCCAGAACTTTCTCATCCTCCCAAACTGAAGCTCTGTCCCCATGAAACACTCACTCCCCACCCCCTCCCCAGCCCCTGGAACCCACCATCCTACTTCCTGTCTCTGTGGATCAGACGCCTCTAGGGACCTCCTGTGAGTGGAATCACACAGGATTTGTCCCCTTCTGTGTCTGGCGCCTCTCGATGAGCACAATGTCCCCAAGGCCCATCCACGCTGTGGCCTGTGTCACAGTCTCATCCCTTTTCATGGCTGAGTGATATTCCACGTGTGGGAGGACCACGCTGTGTTTATCCATCCAACCATGGATAGACATTTGGGCTGTTTCCATCTTTTAGCTCTTTCTGAATAGCGACGCTACGGACACGTATGTTCGTTACAAGATATAGGATCTGCAAATTTTTCTCTCATTCTTTAGGCTTTTTACATTCTTGAGGGAGTCCTTTGAAGCACAGTGTATTTTATTTGATAAAGTACAATTTATCTATTTTTCACTTGTTTGGGCTTTTGGTGTCTTATCTAAGACTCACTGAAGGTCAGGAAGATTGATCCCTATGTTTTCTTCTCAGAGTTTTATAGTTTTAGCTCTTAGGTTTATGTCTCTGATTCATTTTGAGTTAATTTTTGTATGAATATATGACCCCTGCATGGGACATGGGGGTCCACATTCATTCTTTTGCACACACATATCCAGCTGTCCTGGTGCCATTTGTTGAAAAGATTATTCTTTCCCGATGAAGCACATTTTTTGTATGTTGTATTCAATAACATTTGCATGAAAAATGCAGTTGTGACAATGGGGACTCTATGCTACTGGTGGGCACACAATTGGTGCCACTTTTCTGGTGAACCCAGGTGCCATATACATTGAAAACATATGTTTAAAATTTTGATGTTCTTTTTCATTATTGTGCGTCTAATTTCATTTACTTTTCCTTCCTTCCTTCCTTCCTTCCTTCCTTCTTTCCTTCCTCCCTCCCCATCTCTCTCTTCCTTTCTTCTTTTCTTTCTTTCTTTCTTTCTTTCTTTGTTTCT